AAGCATCTTACATTTCTTCTCTGGTTTTCTTTGCAGTAGGCCTCAGGAAGAACGAAGCAGGCCACGTGAAGTTCAGTTACCTTTTACTTCCTTTTCTTTTTCAATCAGAAATGAGCTGCTTCTGATGCTTTCGGTTTTTAATTTGCTTTCCTGTAGAAAGACATCTTATATACAGGGGGAGAGATGCCGAGGAGCTGGCAGTTCCCCCAAAGCCCTATTCTAGTTTTCCATGATATTGATTCTTATTTTCTGGACCACAAGGGATGCGCACACCGTACTCCACAGTCCATCGGAAGTTTCTCTGGCTTAGCTGGAGGGCTTTGTTCAAGCAGAGCGCGCGCTCGCTCGCTCGCACCGTCTTTCTTCTTCCCCAGAATACCCTGGCTTTTGCCGTGGAGCTGGGCAAGCTGCCTGCGCGGCGCTCCCTGAGGGGCGCTCTCGATCCTCAGAGTAGAGGAGACAAAGTTAAGCTAAAGGACTTGGCTCGCGTGGGCCCCTTCAGGGCTTTGAATGTCTAGGGATTTGGTTAATAGGCAAGGTTAATAAAATATTTGACACAACTGTGCCAGTCTTGCTTAGAAGCTGCTCACTGTAATGGATGTAGGGGGCTCAGAATAATGAACTCTAGTGGGAATGTGAAGGAAGAGATTTAAATGTCTTTTCCCCCCTGGGAACGTTTCCAAATCCGCGGTGGTTGAAGTCAGCCTGTCCGTGTCTCGTACGCTGTGCGGCAGCTCCGAGCCAACCTCTCTGCGCCGCGTGCCGTGCCTGTTCGCCAGCAGAACTTCCCAAGAGGAGACGTCGGCCCCTTCCTCCATCTCACGTTGGCACAGTGTGCCAGGGCAGGGGGAAGGAAGGGCCCCCTTCCCAGATCCGCCTTCTCCCTCTCTAGCTTCTGGCTTTCTTGCTCCGTTTTTCCCCTCTTCCTTGGAGCTCCTCCAGTGCTTTCTGGAGCCTGCTGGAATATATATATATTTTTTTTTTTCCTGAGCAGGTCTGAAAGTTGCTGCTTTCTTTCCTCCATCCTCCTGGAAGATTTCTTCCTTCCTTTGTGAAACCTGTAAAAGTTTTATTGGGAGAGTTACTAGTCCGAGTTATTAAAATTTGGTTTTAATTAAACAACAATCTCTTAACTTGGTCGCTGCACCAGATACTGCTGGTATGTGTAAGGGGTGCGCCTGCATTTACTCCTTCCGACTGTGTCGTTCACCACCTTTCTCCTCACCTAGCGATGTTAAATGGGTCACTCAGCGGGGCGCAGGTTTGTCCCTTCTCTGCATTGGACTTAGGAACAGAAATGCGCTTCTGAGCATCAGGAAAGAACAGTTTGCTTCCATGAAGAGCTTTCATTTTCTGGGGAAAATGAGTATGAGTTATTTTCTTATTTCCCATGTATATTCTGAGACTAATCCTCAACCACTCGCCTTTTCTGTTCACTCTGAAGATGTCGCCACAGATCGGTTTAAGATACCTACAACTTTTTGCGCTATCTGGACTTTTTACAGACTCGCAGCACCTATCTGCAGTCAGACTTTGATGAATTTGAAAAGAATTCATCGTCTTGAATGAATTCATCCTCCCAAAATGGATTCCTGAGCTTTGCTTTTTTTTAATAACTTTAATTGTTATCCTCAGCCTCAAAAAATGCCACGGCTACAATAGCTAACAACTGCCTCTTTTTAAAACAAATAAAATAAAAAAGATGGTTAGGTGCAGTGTATTGGAGTTAGGGTTTCTTTACATGCAGAAAAGGGGCACCAAGTGAATTGTCTGATTACTGTCATGTCTGTTTTTCTACTATTTTAATAAATACTGTATCATTATTTGTAAATGTCTATTTAAAAAGTATTTTTGTTATTGGAGAAAGCTTCTGTTATGGTGGTTATTAATCTCATAGCATTTCCATCAATTTGCATTTCAAATAAGAAGACATCAAGTTTATGGCAGATGCAATTCTTCAACTAACCTGAGTGGGATCTGGATCAGGCCCTGCATGAGAATATATTCTGAATTTGTCCCAGTGTCTGTTAGAAGCTTCCTCTGTAGCGAGTGAAAAGAGCACTCCATGCCGTGGTATCTGTCCTAGAAATTCCTAATGGGACTAAGGGACGGAGAGGGAAGGGGAGATGCGCATCAGAACCCGCCTCCTGCAGTTGGCAAATTGCAACAAAACTTAAATAATAATTTTTCTGGTTTTTAGTGGTTGATACTGGCATTGAGTGTCCAAAATTACCTTTTAAACTTCCAGTTGCAGGAGTTGGCTCTCTCTGATGTAGTGCTGCCTCTTTGGTTTCTCCTTAGCAATAAATGATTTGCAGCACCTATTCTCAATCCCTGTTACAGCGTTTGGTCGAAAACAAACCCCAAAAAACCCGTAAACAAAAAAGAGCAGAAGAATGAGCTTGTTTTCCCAGAGCTGGTTTCTGCAAGGAATGAAAATTTGGTGACATCAAAACGGTGTTTTCCTTGAATATTTTGCATTTCAATGCATTTAATTTCTTCTCTTTACGTTTGTCTTTAAGTCGCTCCGTAGCTATTTAGCAACTGTTCTCACTCGTCTTTAACATCCACTTGTCTTTACTGTTAGGCACTGCTCAAATGCCTTCCTAGCAAGAGCTGTTGTAGCTGTTTATTAGGCGCCGTCATTTGCATACCATCCTGGAAGATTTTTAAGTGTGTGTTCACTGGAATGTACAGCCTCGCTGAGGAACCTTTTGCATTTTACTGCTTTGCTTCGCCTAACGATCTGGTTCTACAATGATGAGTTTGTTTACTTACTTTTGGAGGTGACACTGGAATCTGGGAGAGTTGACCCTTGAGATGAGACTTCACGTTACTTAGAGAGCGTGAATACTGGTTTAATCGCCTCGTAGACATCCGTAGACTTACTGACGGGTGCAGTACGCACAAAAAGTACGTTTTCCTTCTTGCTGCGCACATTATTCTGTGGGATTTTTATTTTTTTTTTTAGTGCATCCTTCTGAAGCTACATAAAGGTACTAAATCTTCAGGCTTTAGCTGCGCTGACTGTAACCAAAATGATCAATTCCAACTTACAGTTCTACATAATATCTAACAAAAAAACGTTTTCCCTACACACTCATTGGAACGGGTAATTACTGTAGCAACTACAGACTAATTTGAAGTGTTAGCTGTTAATTAAAACACTACGGAGGTGTACGGTTGTCTTTTGGTGTAACCAAAGCTCCCATTCAAACTTCATTAATCACTTTACAGTTATTGTGTTGGGGAAGGTCAGGACAATCGAGATGCCGGATCAGCCTGGAGTAAACAAATTCCTTTCCTCCCAGGTAGCATGCCATTTGCAAAGCCACTGGACACGCTGTACCCATGGGCATGGGATCTCCTTTGTGATCCAATTCTCAGCGATAATTAAATGTTAAATTGGTACTGTCAGTGCTCTGTAAACCAAACCAGGTATCTGCCCTCTGCTGGAAATTTAACCCAAACTTCCACGGATGAATTAGCGTGCATCATAATTAAATAATCAAGTCTTCCCTTTTAATTCACTTGGAAACAGGAGATCTCTCTTATGGAAAAAAGATCAGCTTTCTTGACAAGCTAATTAAGTTGCCAAACTGGCCGGCACAGTACATATTAAGCTAACAGACGTTAAGCATGCTATCTCAACCTGTTCATTTTCTTATCATTTCTGCTGATCTTAAGTCCATAATGTTTTGCCACTGTTGATTCATCCATAGTTACAGCAGAGTTCATTTGCTCCGTGGGATTCATTGGTGATGCATTCAGCGGCCAGTCTGTCAGAGCTTCCTCTGGTGGCTTTGCTTCTTGCGCGGGGTGCTGGTGTTAAGGAGCACTGGGTTCCGTGTGCCTTTTGAAACGGGGCGTGTTCCTCAAAGCTGCTGCCGCTTGGTTACAGAAATGTTTATCCATGAGTTATTAAATTAAGGTGAAGTTTTTAGAAACTTCCGAGCTATTAACAGAAATTATATAAGCGCTCAGGGTTATAAATAAGATTAAACAGCAGTCTCGCTGGGTGCTATGTATGATTTTGCATGCTAAAAAAAACAAAAAACCCCAACCTATTAAAGCTTTTCTTCTTCAGTAATAATTGCTAGAGGTATATAGTGGTAAGATATTATAATTCTTTAAAGTTGGTGCGACATCTATGACATTACTGTGCGTAGTGTCATAAATCAGTATGAGACAATAAAACTAGTGAAGAGGAAAAGCTTTAATGGTTTTGTTTTTATGCAAAATTACATCGGGTTTTTAGTAGACTTTTTTTTTTTTCGCCTACCTTTTTATTTTCTTACGAGTTCATGGTTAGGAATACAGAAGTCATTGTTAAATAGCCAATTATAGGTGTTTGTCTTCAGAAATTAAGACAAACTGCTCTTGAAATACTGTGGGAAAATTATTTTGGGGTCACGTGAGCATTAACAATAATGCTCTCTAACCTTATATGTGCACACACGTGCTAATCTTAAATGCAAATGCAGAAACCTCGTTACTCTAATATTTTCTGTGTGTCCTTAGGTTACGGTAGAGAATCAGACATTACCCATTTTCCTTCAGTGTAATTGGCAGAGCTGTGTATCTCACTGTCTTACCACTGAAAACACCCACAGGACTGGCAAACTTGCGTGATAAACCTTGTTTTAGGTGAAGATTCTGAATAATAGGTATATCATAATTTTATTTCATGGAAAGAAAATGTGAAAGTGGATAAAGTCATACTTAGACGTTGGCTATTATGCTGTACGAAAGCCTTCAATGTGTAGATTTTATGTAAAACTTGCAGATGTAAAAACCTGCTAAATGGTTTCATTGTAAGTATCTTCTTTTGATCAATTGTTCTCATCAGTCTTTCTTTAGAAACGCTATGTAAAATCGGTTTAACGTAAAACACGTTGGCTCCAAGTCATTTTTCTGTGGAATTAGTGTGTACATGTTGCACATATGTATAGAGGTAATTTTATGTGATCTCAAGTTATTTAATTTTTTCCCTCATGCAGGGCATACCATGTCCCTAGTGGAAAAATACTAGCAGTAAAGGTAAGATATTACAGTAATTTTCTTTCTCTCCGTTCTTTCTTGACCTTGGTTTCCTTCCCCTCCCTCTGATTGTTAGATCTCCGTTTGGTTTATTGCATTAAAGTCCATGTTGTTAATGCAGGGAAACTCCAGCCCATAAATTTCATCATTCCAGATGAGCACAGAGTTCCCAGAATCCAGTTTTTTTTGGGCCCCGGGAACGGCTCGGCACTCTGCGTAGGTTCCACCACCTCTTCCCAGGCGGTTACGTGGACGTTTCCAAGGGCAGTTGTGGTTTGTGCCTCTCCGGCGAGGGGCAGAGCTGCTGCTTCACCGTCCTGAACCCCGGCGGCAGAGGAGCGGGGATGGAAAGGTGGCGGGACGTCAGCCTGGCCTTTCTCTGCCGATGCCAAGCTGTCCCCCAGGGCGTATTCTTCAGTGGGCTCTGCAACCTCGTTTTTAAATAAAGAGAATTTCCCTGTCGTCTTTGGGATAATACTCAGTTTTCCTAGGGGATTTTGTGGCTTTAACGGGTTTGTTTATTTTAATCCCCCCCCCCCCCCCTTTTTTTTTTTTTTAATCCAACTTATTTGGCTTTTTTTTTTTCTTTTCTTGTTAGCATTTTGTTCGGTGAAGCTGTATGCTGTAGTGTGGTGTGCTCAGCTAAACACCAGTCTTGTCTGGAAGTTCGGTTAGAGCTATGGTGAACAGTATGCCATCTCTTGTATGTAATTTGTTAAATTAAATTTGTTAGATTAAATCTGTAAATTAAATTATGAATCCAGTTAATTGGTACAAAAATGTTGAGATAGGTCCCTTTTCACATATCAAACTTTTTTGTAATTTGGCGGTTTTGTTAAAACTCAAAGCAGTAGAGACTTTTGGAAAACAAATTAATTGTTGCATTCATACAATTCCAGTTAATAGCTTGGGATCTAAAAAAAAGGTGTATTTAAAAAATATAATTTGTGGAATAATTACTTAGAAAACTGTAAAACAGGCTTTTCGTCCCCTTTCTTTTTTGGGGGGTTTTTGTCCTCTTTCTTTTTTGAGGGGGTTTTTGTCCCCTTTCTTTTTTTGGGGCTTTTCATCCCATTTCTTTTTTTTCACTGTCTTTAATCATTAAATACGGGTGTAACTGAGTTAAACTGAAAGAAGGTGGGGGTGGGAGAGGAGGGCAAGAGAAGGAGTGATGGGAGCTGGTTGCTGCAAGCAGAATTGGTGTTAAATGGCATTTGAAGGCGTAAGATTATACGAAGACCTCAAATGAAGCATTTTATATTTACCAGGCAATATTTACATATATGGGTAACTTGCAGATTTGGGCTCAGGTTGTGTTGTGGTTCTGATCAGATACAATTTACTAAAAGGACTATCTTTCAGCTTTCCTGAGGATCATGTAAAGGAATCCCTTCGCTCCACTAGGAGAAAAGCAAATAGTTGCTACTGCATTTGAAATGATTCTCTAAATGTGGAAAATACGGAAATGGAAATAACACCCAAATATCTTCTAATTATACAGAAGACAAGTATCACTTGAAAAAGTCACTTTACAAAAGTCCTCTCAAGTGATATCCATCATTCCTAAACCCGTCATGAGCAGTTAGAGTAAGGTGGGAATTCTCCAAGTTGTAACAGGCGCGAAAGTACAGAAAATTAAATATTCAGGAGTATTTTTTATTACAACTTTCAGTGTGGCACTAAAAAAGCTCTTCCCTTAAACGCTGGGGTTGCTTGAGGATGCTGCTTTTCCCTGGTACCTGCTACGTGGCTTCCTCAAATGATCGTGTTCAAGCTCTGCCGAGCATCTTCTGTGCCAGCCCTGCTCGGCCTCGGCGCTGCTGCTCGCCAGCCGGCCCCGTGCTGCTGCGGGGCTGGGGGTGCCCTCGGAAGCTGCCTGGAGAGGAGGTGGAGCACGAGAAAAATCGCACAGGCAGGAGGGGAAATGAGTTCACCCTTTGCAAGGTTAATTGGAATCACCTCCCTGTGGCAACAAGCCTTTTCCCCCAGCAATTTCGCCTCCTTGTTTCCCTTAGAGTCCAAGGGTTGGGGTAGTCCTCGTGGATAATTAGCATCCTGAAGATTTGGGAAGCTGGGTTCTCTTGTAGATACTGTTCATGGTGGTCCTGTCACTCTCAATTAGATTTTTTTAGTGTGATTTCAGGAGAGAGGTTATATCAACACATGGGTGTTGTTATAGTTTAAAATAACAGGCTCACCAGCTGGAGGTCAGGAAACCTGCTATGAGGGTGATCATGCCGGCTTGCTCCGTTAAGAAAATTACTGAACCCGTCTCTGGCTCCGCATACCCGGCACAAAAAGAGGGTGGCAATGCCAGCGTCTTGACGTGGTCGTCGCACGGATCGAGTGTTTTGACGGAGGATGACCACGCTAAGAGGAACATCGCTGGGTGGATCCGTGACAGCAGAGTTCCCCATTGGGGGGGCTTTTTTGGACAACCAGCGGGTTTGATAGGACAAGATAACATCCTGGAAACCTGTTGATTAAAATGCTTTCAGCTGCTAGATAATCTTGCAAATATATTAAACCAGAGAACAATGCTAATACCTACGTTATAGACCAAAGCTGTGTCGTTACATATGCTAAGTAAACTTTACGGTTAGATAACGTGCAGAGGATAAATAGATTTTTTTTTTTGAAGGTAACTTTTTTCTAATTAGAGAGAAAAATCTGAATGAAAAATTGGAGCGTACGCTGGCTGATTGCCATTCTTCAACTGCTTTTAGTTTCTCCTGCTCTTAAGCTAGCATTTAAATGGACCATTTGATTAATCATTTGTATACTGACTATAATACTCCCAAATTTCCTTTGAGTTGTACATACTGTAAAAGACAATTATGTCACCACAGATTAAATAAGTGAATTAAAACAGAATAGCAGCTTAATTTGACCTGTGATTTTGCTCTCGTTCCCTTTAGTGGAACGTATGCCACTCCAGCAAATAGATGAAGTCATCCATGACAGCTTGTGATGAATTGCCGTATTTATACTGTATATTTTAATAGCCTCACACTAATTTAAATTGAGCACAGAGTAAATTATAATTCAGTCACTTGACTGCTTGTATTTAACTTGACAACTCATCCTTATTTGTCCTGGAGGTGTAGTGGAGAGCAGGGAAAATGTGCTCAGGTATTCCTCTTGTAAAAATTAACCCTTTTCGCTTGAAACGTTGGGTATGTTGAGTTCACGTATGTTATAAGTGCCCGAAGCGATTTCAAGAGTGCTGTATTTTAGGCTGGAACTTGATAAGGAAGATGTACGGGAGTGCTTGGAGCCCTTGGGTGAATCCCAGAAGACCACCATGTCATTTAAATTTAGAAAGAAGGAAGCCCCCCTTGTCTAGTATCCTTCTCCAGCTCTACCTGCGAGGCACCATTTTGACTAGTTTTGGAATCAGGGCAGGCACTGGTGCTCGGAGCTCGGCTGCCAGCCCAGGTCACCCTTGGCCCCATCTTGAGACTGGTCCTGTTCATCAACATCCCTGAGGCTCAGCGGGGACCTGCCCGGCTCCTCTCAGACCTTTGTGGTAGCTTCTGGTGCAAACGCGTTATGAAACTGCTCCTGTTGAGCAGTGCATGTTATTTTATGCTGGGTGAGTTGGGGTTTGCTTTTCTGCTCTCGATAATTCTGGTCAAAGAGCAACGATTTTTGCTACAAAGTTCTTTCCAAAGGTGCCGTTTTGGAAGAGTTTATTGTCTAACGTTACATCTCGTTCACTTCCTTGCGTTACAGTTGTGGAAGTTACGGCCAAATTCACAGCCTCTTCCTTGGTAGCGATGGGTCTGAGGAGGCTTTTTGGTTTGGTTTTCGTTTGGTTTGGTTTTCGTTTGGTTTGGTTTTCGTTTGGTTTGGTTTTGTGGGGTTTTTTTGCTTAAACACTGTTCCAGCCCGTGCTTGACACTGTCAGCTCACATATTCTTACTTGTTTCACCCGTACAAACTTCACTTTCTAAACAGGCTTGGAAATGATATACAGAAGGAGTATGACCGTGGAGATTACAAATGCAGATTAAGGTGGTGCTGTATTTTTTTTTTCCTCTTTCTTTCCCCCGTTTCAGTGCTGTAAATAACACAAGGTTCCTCCAACCTTGACATCAGATGGCTGTCTCTCCTGTGCTGTAAGTCACGCGTGTATAGATGGAAGAAAACACTTCTGTGCAATGGTTTTGCAGAGAAAGCGAGGCAGTGGTCGCTCCTAATTTATTTTGTGGTGATGTTTGCTTGCCGTAGCGTTGCAGTACCTTTCTGTACGTGCCCTACCCTATAGTATCCTGACCACTTGTAAACGGGGGAGCCCTGCTTTTCCAGGTTCCCCTCGCTATTAGAATGCAGGGTCTGTATGTAATTATAGTTAATGCAAATCAGCCAGAGACCTTTCTTCGTGCCAGGTCTTGGTTGATTGGATGTCAGTGGTGTATTTGACGCTGATCATGCTAACTAGTCATTGTTCAGGTCGGTGAAACCCTCGCAGTGAACGAGGCAGGGAAATGTCTCACTAGGAGTAGGATTTAGGAAGATAAAATTTTAATTTTGTACTGTTAACAAGATTAAATTCCCTTAATACTCAGTGGGTGAAACTGATGGTATTCCAGCAAATTATTTTAAGTTTTTCACGCTGGAAAAATGTAAGTGAATATTGTTGGCAAATGATTATTGATCTAGACAAGTGTGTTAAACGTTTCTTGGCAGCCCTGTATTACACTTACAATTTAGTTTAGTGACAGCTTTTATAAATGACCCTAAAGCAAACTCTTGATAGAAACAGGTTATCGTTTTTTCTTTCAGACAGATTTGGATACTGTAAAATGCACGCGTTTGGAAACGGTCTCTGTATTTTGTTTCATCAGCAGGATAGGCAGCCTGTAGTATCTATTCTGCTAATTCTGCAAATAGACTAGATCTTGTGTCCCTCTAGCTTAAAATATTAAACCATGGAATGTGTGGTAGCAGCCTGAGCCTGGCTCAGTGCATTTCGAGTCCATTTTGGGTTTATTTAGTAGTACTTTCTGAGTGCGCAAGTCTTCAAATAATCGTGGCAAAGAATTGTTTGTTGAAGTTGACTTTCAGTGCTAGTTCTGTCGGGACCAGCATCCTTATTAAGAGGGTCTGTCTTGAAAATACTGAAAACTTGTAACTCCAGACAGTGCACCCCACCTTCACGGCAGCCCTCGGTGCGTTAGTCCTGGTTAGCAGCCTGGCTCAAAGCGGTGAAAAGCGAGGGCATGGGTGAAGGAAGCAGCAGATCAGCGAGCGGCTGATTTGAGCTGAGCTGAGCTGCTGGGCGCTCAGTCTGGGTGTTTGTAGGAACGCTTTGGTGATGCTTACCTAAGCATCTGTATCGTCTGCTATCATCTGGTCTTTTCTGTGTAATTCCCAGTTTTTCATATATCACACGATGTTAGGAATTTATAAAAAATGGGGTGTGTGTTAAAGAAACTGAAACTGTGAGAGTGGTGGTAAGAGACAGTCCCATAGGGCCCCACTGAGACATTCAGAGATACTTTCAGTACTCCGGTACTTGTTTAGCCCTTGGAGCGAACACCTTCGGGTGAATAAGCAGCAGCTCAGAGTTTACCGACGTGCAGATGTCCCGCGCCTGCTCTTTACGTTACCCGTGGGGCTTGTGTTCAAGTTCCAACTCGTCTTTTGGTCAAATGGTTAAACCACAAACCTTATGACATTTCATGGATAAAATTGGGTGTATAATTTAGTTTTGTAGCTGGCTTTTAAAAGTAAGTCTGTGCTTTCATTTCCATTTCCTTCCTCTGCTCATCGCTCTGTGAAAATGCTCTTTCCCCCTGTTCCTCTCTTTCCTTTACTCATGTCAGCACAGTTAGTACATGGATCTTTGGGTTTTTTTATTTTGACTCATTCACTTTTTATGTCAACTCTGATCATACGTCCCTTTTTTTGTGTTTTAGGTCATACCCTTAGATATAACACTGGAACTCCAGAAGCAGATAATGTCGGAGTTAGAAATTCTTTATAAGGTATACAGATTTTCTCATTTTCGTTATTCTTGTTTACAGTCTTCTTACAGCAAATTTTAAAACAGGCTTCTTTTTTCTTTTCCTTTCTTTTTCCAGTGTGACTCATCATATATCATAGGATTTTATGGTGCTTTTTTTGTAGAAAACAGAATTTCGTTGTGTACAGAATTCATGGATGGTGAGTTGTGTATCTAGTGTGCTTTTGTTTGCTGAGTATGAAAATGGGAAAATCATATAAAGAAGAGCTTTTCCAGAATGGAGCAAAATGCAGTAGTATGACTTGAAAATGTAAAGTGTTAATAACTTTGAAGGTAGTTTTGGGGAGGAAAAAAAAAAAAAAAAAAAAGGTTAGTTTTGGGATTGTGTTCTATTCTCCATGGTATGCTGCATTTTCCCAAGTGTTACTTCGCTTACTTTTATTGAAAATGTAAATAGAACAGAAGTAAATGCTAGCTTAATTTGTGGTTTGATATTTGAGTCTTCCATACAATCTGTCCTCGCTGGCAAAACAGCTGTTCCTCACTTTTACTGTTTTGATAGCCAAACCAGATTTTCTTTTAAAGAAATCTATTAACCCAATGTCCTATGTGTTTTCAGTGGAAATCGTCTCTTAATTGCAAGACAAGGAATTATTTTCTAACACAGCTGTTGAGCAGTGCTGCGCTGAGTTTCCTTTGGAGTGTACTCTTGTTTCTCCCAACGTGAATCTTCAGAACAACAGCATCCCCTTCCCCACAATCTGATGCTGCTGTCATTAGGGAGATGTGTTAGTACTTTGCTTTGAAATCTTGTGCTGTGTGGCGTTCTTGGAGAAAAGGCAGGAAAAGTGCACTGATCACAGCAATTTATAATCATCGCTGCCCTCTGTGCATCCATTCGGAGAGCGTGTCTCATGACAGATGCAGTCCCCTTGTGTCTCGCACGCTAGAACCCTCTTCACAGCGTTCAACTTTTACCATCTCGTTGTTGTTACAAGCAATAGTCGATTCCTGTCTCCGGGATTTTCTTATGAGCCAGCATTTTGTGCGCTATCCAGGTTTTTCGCACAGGTTTAGTTAAGCTGGATATAAAGGAGTAAGGATCTTGCAAACAACTTACTGTGGAGGGATGGCAGGAAAAATTTCCAAAGCCAAACATGTACTGTTAAGCGTTGTTGAATAGCTTCTTTCTTTCTGATAGTGACCATGGATAAGGCCCTTTGGGGTTTTATGGTGCATTTTGTTTTCTCCCTGTTAAAATCATCTGTTGTTCCTGTTATTTCTCTTTTTTACACTTACTACCTCTGTCCCAGTGACAGCTGTGCCCTATTTCTGGGTATGAGTGTTCTCTCAGCTTTTCCCTGTTTGATGAAGAATACTACATTTATTGAACAAATCCCGCAAGTTAAATTCTTTGCTGTTCTCATGCTGCGTGACTATTAGCCACTTCTCTGTCCTGTCCTTGTGGTTGCACTCAGGCTTGCCAGCCTGCGTTAAGCAGTAGCCACACACGGTAAGGAAGCATCTGCTCGTGCCAAAACATGCACCTGCCTGGAGTACGGGTGCTCCTGCTAATTCAGAGATTTTTTTTTTTTCTTAAAATGATGGACATAAATCCTTGCAGTTCTGAATTCTTGTTTGAAAATGTTGAAGCCTTTAGGGCATGCATCCCTCATGATGTTGCACAACAATGGTGTTTACTGACCATGCACAAATTACTTGGAATTATACTGGAGATGACCTCTGGTCTGCCTCATGTTGTGCACTCCTTCTGGCAGAAAGCAACAGCAATCATTTAAAGGAAGAACAAAATGCAAATAAAGGGACCTTGCCATTTATTTTTTTTTTCTCAGACCTTTAATTTTGATGCATAAGGATGCAGGGGAAGATAAGAAAAAAAAACACTTTCTCATCCTGCAGATGAACAGCTTTAACCTTGACAAATTTTTAGCCCTTTTTTACTGTCTTAGGTCATTTTGTAGTATTTCCTGAATCCATATCCCATGACTCCCTTTGCCCAGTTGTATCCTGTTCCATAGCACGAAACACAAGTATTTCCTTTATGAATTACCTGGATATGGGTGGATCTGTGTCTTTGGGGATACTTGTGACTTGGGGGTACGCACAGGGAAAAGGGGCACGTGTAGTACCGTACTGGTTCTTTCCTGGCACCTGCAAGCAGGAGAAAGCCAAGTAACTCCAAGTCTGCAAATGTCAACGCAGTGCTGCTTTTTGGGGTGACTTGGTTATTCTTCGTTATACACTTGGTTATTTAAACTCAAAACCCGGTGGTTTCGAGTTCTCCAGTTTCAGTATTCTGTCCTGTGACTGGGAGGTTTTTTAACAGGCGTTTTAGTATTAATGCTGCAAGCGAAGGTAAGTGACCTGAGTAGTGTTTCATGTGTTGATTCAGAGTTTGGTAGATTTTTAAGGTCAGTTATTTCTGACACAGTTATTGTTATATCATTGATGGTGTTTTTATTAATAACCAAGAAAACCCTTGTGACTTCAAATCTAGGGCAGTATTTCATTTTGTATTACCTAAGCACGTTTTGTTTGTCCCTGCAGGGGGTTCTTTGGATGTTTATAGAAAAATTCCGGAACATGTACTGGGAAGAATAGCAGTAGCTGTAAGTACTTTTTTTTCTTTTTGCCTTTCAGTTTTTGATGGTGCACGTAACGCCTCTCTGACTTGAGTGTGCCTGTGCCCCCTTGGGCCACTGAGTCGTCTCCAGGATCCGTGTCCTTGTTGTGCCTGTGGGAAAGGGAGGGTCCTTCCTATCTCGTGCTCTTCTGACCGTCCTGTGTGCGCAAGGGCACCGGGGTTAAAGAAACCTGCCTTTCGAATGGTCCACACCTGAGTTGCTGGAGGCTCAAGAAATGTAAAAGGATGTGATAAATTGAACAGGATACGAAAAAAAAAATCATGAAATTGCTGGAGAACTCTGTGGTCATGTTTCTTCGTATCAGCCCTTGGAGGATGGAGCGGTCCTCTTCATCGCCTTTGTTTAGCCTTGAAGTCCTTCTGTGATTCCTTTTTAAAAAGGGATTCAGAAGCCTTGTCCTTGCCCTTATGGTGATCCCTCATCTGCTGCTTCTGCTGATTCTCCTGTGTAATCTCCATTCTAAGTGTCCTCAATTCTGTACAAAGTAACTCAATTAGATTCGCTTCCCAGGTTGAAAAATTAAGTCAGTTCCTGTTATCAAAATGCAGTGGCAGAACACATTGTCTGTCTTCCCCTGTGGCAGATGTACTCCTTAAGGCAAATAAGGAGGAGGCTGAAGTTTTTATTTAGCACAAGCCAAGCCTGACAAAGGCTGCCTGGGGACAGGCTGCTCTCTCGGCCGTGTGCTGGGACCCTTCATACGGGAGCAGTCACGGTTGAGGAGCTGATAGTCATTTTTGGGGGTGATGAGCAGGGAGGTGAACTGTGATCTAGGAAGAACCATCAGTCCCCAATGTCTACTCAGTTTGGTAGCAAGGTGTTGACAGTGGGATCCTTCGAGCACCTGGTAGCCCATCATTGTGTCTCGGCAGCATTCAGTGACTGCGTTGCTAGAAATTCACTAGCCGTGATTGAAAACTCAAATTACAGAACAACAAAAAAAAAAAAGGAGGGGGGAAAAAAAAAATCCGCATTTTGCTGCGGCTGAACACAGGGTAAATGACCAATGGCTTAGTGGATCTCACAAGGGAGAGCGATACTGCTAAACAATTGCTAAATATAAGGAATACTTTGATAACTTAAGCAGTTTAAAGCATAACAAAGTTATTCTATCATGTGCCATTTAATTAAGTGCTGGGTTTTCACATTCATTATACATCAAGCTGACAATTTAAATCCTTTAATCCAACACAGGCAGCTATTTAGTCTCTGTTCATTGTAATTCACAGCTCTACTTTCTCTTAATTTGTGTGGCCTGCCCAGGGTGATGAACATCCTTCTCTGATGCTGTTTCCTCTAAGTAGCTTCAAATCTGCTCATTATATAGCCTCGCAGTTTCTTACGGAATTTGAATGCTTTTCACCTTTAGTTCAGAGTAAAAACGTTTCATCTCTTCTTCCCTATGGAGCAATGAATGATAAGTTGCTCACGGTGTCCTCATATCCCTGACGCTAAGTAGCGTGTGTGTAGTGTAATAATACTGGGCTGGGCCTTCGAGCCTTTCTTCAGATGCTATTCCTTCTCCTTTTGCTTATTCCTTCTCCTTTTCCTTATCTCACTTCACCTTGTGTACTTAATACCTCCACGCTGACTTACCTTATCGCTTCCTTACTTGCTTTTGTCTCTCCTCTCCCCCATCCTCCCCAACCCACCTGGCTTGGTATTCTGCAGATGTTCTCTTCCAGTTTTTCACTTGCCCGTAATGGTGGTGCTTCAGACCCATCTTTGATGTCTTGATATATGGTTTTGTTTTGTTTTGTTCACCCGCAGGGTCATCTCTTTACAAATCTGTTAGTTAGTGAGCACGGCTCCCTGACATGGACGGTGAGCTGATACTTCACTTTTTCTAGTTATTTTACTTGCTGCTTTAGCAACCTGCAGTGTGCCCGCTGCAGTGCAGGGGGTCAGTGCAGAGGTGAACAAAGGAGCGGGTGCCTTCAGAGAAGGAGCTCGCCGCTTTCTCCTGCTTCTGCGTGACAGAAGGTGTGCGCTGAGGCTGAACCATCACTGGCAGCTTCCTCTGCTCTGGTGCTGATATTTTTGCGCAATTGGCATGGTAGGCTTGTTGGAAGGAGGCTGTGAAAGCCTTTGTTTTCCCTGTAATTTATCAGTGG